CTTGATCAACTATCCTTCCTTTAACAAAATCTGACAATTCGATAGAACCTTGAGTTCTAGGCATGTTGTAGACACAAGATAATTAGTGTGCGGACCATTTTCATTTGTATAGTGCTCTGTGAACACAAATTAGTTAGCATAAATCAGTTAAATGATGAAAAATTAGGTGTCTATTTACTTGTGACCACTCAGTGTATATCTATATTTAAGTGTCTGGAAAAGTCCGGGAAATTTATCTATCGTTTTTCTGGCGGTGATATTATTTTAGCATTAGTGCTCACATGTAATTTTCATTTACTGGTTTGACCAAAATTTGTAGTTCATGCTCTGAAATATGTTTTTCTAGAATAAAAAACAAACAAAATGTTGGTATTCATTTTGTAATAACACCCCCCCCCCTCTCCCCATTAGTTCTGACTTGAAGAGTTAGTGTTATTTCCATACCAAACTAAACAGGTGTTCGACAATATTAAAAATCAAACTAACTTCTCTATTGTGATCTAACAGGATATATCTGAGGTCTGAAAACTAATAAGAAAAAGCATATAGATGGAGAAGCCTCAACTTAATTAATCATTTTTAACTTCATCTGCATCACTTTTTACGTTATGTATTTTTATTGATTCAGACCCAATTAAACTTACGTTTACTGTCATTCTGGCCTCCATTATCTGTTTCGTTTGTCTCCTTAGTTATAGGAAGCTGGATCCGACCTGGCATAGCTCATCTATCAAATTTATTACAATTTTGACATTCAGATAAGTTAGCTTGAAAATAAACAGAGTAACATTCTTCGATATAGAGTCCAATGATTCTTCTTTTTTTTCTTGAATTCATTGTCCTTAATGTAAAAACTCGTAACCTTCTTTTATTATCATTTAATTTACTATCACGTTTAATGTTCGCTGCGCATGCCGCGGCTTCTTGCATAACAGATTTAGTAGTGGGCCATATCGTTATGTTATTTTGTTCGTACACAGATATCTGTGCACGAGTTTTTCAAGGGTTATGGTAACCATGGGAAGCTGTTTGTCTGATCTTACCTAAATACATACGAGTTAAAGAATCAATATAATATTAAGCCGGGTGTAAGTTTTTATCGTTGTAACTGCATATTGTAAAACGTGATTTTTTTTAATATTATTTGTCGTTGAATTGCAAAACAATTCAACGAGAAGACCAAAAGTTTCAATAGAGTACTTTTCACGTAACTGAAAATCT